CCCCAAAACCCCAAAACCCCAAAACCCCAAACAGCAAAATAATAAATGAATTTATAAAATTAATAAAATGGAATCGGAGTCTCCCAGATTGATTAGCTTTGACGATTATGAGAGTTATAGAAACATGCTTGGACTTGAAGAACTCAAAGAAAACTCTCACATAAGTAGTTCCAGACAGGGAAATATGAGCTTCAGTTCATCATCGGGCTCTCTCTAAGTAGAGAGGAGGTTAATCATGAAGAACATAAGCTTGATAGAGGTATTTACAAGCAAAATTAGACTTTTTAGCCCAGATATATTCTTAAATGAGGTACATCAGGAAATGATAGACGAAATTTATGAGAGATACTTAGAAGATGAAGATGAGATGCCATCGAATGTACCATACGAAGAAGAATTTGAAGAGGTAACTATCCTTTATTGGAACCTAAGCTTTCATTAAATACTTTCTAACCATCACTTTAGAGAGAGGAATCCTTGTTGTCTCTGAACAAATGCAAACCAGAACAGCATAAAGAAGTAGTTGCTATAGATATTGAAAACGGAGAACATGAAATTCTGACTTGTACAATTTGATTGTGTGATGACTCAGAGATCTTGATGATCTGAAGGTTCTGAGGAAATAATGCATGTAACTCCTGATGGAATAGAGTCATTAATCAAAGATCTAAATGCTTTTTCTGCAGAAAGAGGATTAATAAAAGAGATTTAGTCAGGAATCTTATTGCTGAAAGGATCAGATATCAACAGAGAATTCTTGCCTCTCAAAATGACAATAAGCCTACCAAAAAATGCCCAGAGCATGATAAACCTGGCAGGCTGTTCTGAGAGACTTGTTCTTGTTTCTTCTGATTTCAGTGTATCAAAGAGTCTGTGCACTCTGGCCATAAAGTCTGAGATATTGAAGAAAACCCTAAGATCAAGAACAAAATACTAGAGACTAATAAATATTGAAATGAGCTAGAAAAAGGAAGAAACCTACTTCTAGCATCAGTAAAGGAGCATTCAGAGCTTATAGACATCAGTCAGAGCGACCTGGATATTTATGTCGCAAAGCTCAAAGACAAAATCTTCAAAAGAATTGATGAAGATACAAAGAATTTGAGAGAAATATTGTTGCTAGAAGCTTCGCTCAACACCCAAGCTAAGACTGAGTTGGATAAATTTGACGATGTTGTTAAAGATCTGGAAACACTCAACCTCAGAACCATTGATGTGGAGAAGCTCAGAACGAGTATTAACAAGCAAGTTGAAAACGATCAAGCACCAAATGTCAAAGCATTGATAGACACTAAAGGTAACTGAGATCTCTTTTCTTGATTAGACATCATGAGAGGTCAATCCTAAACTACCTCAATTTTCATAGATCTGGAATTATGAAAGAACTCAATCCAGGAAAGATACTTATTAGGATGCGACTCCACAAACCACACAAAGTTCTCTGAATTCATGAAGAAGACTCTGAAAGAAGGCACCAGCCAATTTGTCTAAATTCAATCAAGGATCTTAGTCATGGGGTTTTGGGGTTTTGGGGTTTTGGGGTTTTGGGG